TGGTGGGGGGGGGGGGGGGGGGGGGGGTCAACTTTATTGACTGACTGTAGCTTCTGAATAAAAATCGACAAGATTCCGAAATGGAAAAAGCTATCAGGATGACAAACGACAAGACAAGAATTTTTCAAAATTAATTCTGAAATCATCCAACAAAACTACATGGTAAAACCAGCAAAACCTTAAGATACAGTGGTGCATCAAACAATTTTTCTTTTTTATTTCAAGAGAAGGAAGAGCAAGAGTAAAATAAGGAATCTTTCTAAGACAACTGTTAACAAAAGTCTCACTACAAAGAAAACCCATGAACATAGCAATAATGATTAAAATACACACCAATATAAGGATCATGAGCATTGAACGTGACCAGAGAGAATGAAACACTGGAAGTAGATGGCTTCTGAAAATTTGATACAAAGCAAACATAAAGAGTTAGTGAATATATATACGAAACAAGTAACACAACTTGCATAATCAAAGTAAATGTTAATGATGATGGAGAAAGAAGCATTGTAACTTTCGAAAGTTCGAAATATTATACATATATACCTGACCAGTCAACTCATTTTCAACAAAACTCCTGCACATATTTAACAAAAAAAAATAAAAATCAATAAATATTAAAGCTGAAGATATTGTCCACAAAGAAAATGTAACTAAATGCGTCATGTCTTGCATTGATTACTTTATAAAACAGATCACCTTAGGAGGCATAATTTGTTACAATAATATGCTTTCATTTTGTTCATCTGATGTTTAATAATATTTAACTTTGTTGATCTAAAATAAATTATGCACCTTTTCTCATTAAGCTTCCCTCAAGCCAAGAGAAGATATATAGGGCATTTTCTCTGTCAAATCTATGATAACACATGAATATAATATTCAAGTTCCTCACAATGAGAAGGCACGTTCCTCTTCAAACGACCAGGGGATTACTTATTCACTAAAAGTTTAGTAAGGACATCATGTTTCTTACCCAAAATACAATGAAAACATTAAAAAAATGCATTTTTTAGGTGGAAACACTAAATTCCCGTGTCTGCGTCATAGTTTATATATCAATCTACAAGAAAATAGACACATATAATACCAATCAGTGACAAACATAAATTAATTGAACAACAAATAGAATTATATTAACTCATTAAGAATATCAAAAGGTTAGAGAAACAAATTCCCATAAGCTTTTGATTAATTCATAGATCAATTCGCCAAATAAACAAAAATGACCACTAACTGGCAGTCTATACACTCATCAAGAACACAAAAGTAACTTCTGCTCTTGGATGCATACACTAATTGCAAGAGAAAATGAGTATATCTATTTCCCCAAAAAAAAAAAATGATTATTCAAACGCGAAAACCCATATCAGAATTCTAATACATTCCACACCAAAACAAGCCCATCCCATAACAATTCGCCGCCATAAAAAAAATTAATTTTTCATCAGGTCACACAAATACACAAATAAATACACATTGAAATCACAGTATGGGTTAATGAAATACCGAATCATCTTGTCGAGGTAACCGGAGAGAATGGTAAACCAGTAGGGTCTCATAGCGGCTGTTCCTTCAACAACCACGATTAGCTGTTTCTGCGCCATTTACGGATATTCTTGAGCCAATCTCAAATCTTCGAATTCTTCTTTATTTTGCTCTTGATTTTGTTCGAGATACTGGTTATCTGCACACCATCTCGAGTCCCAACTGTCAACGGTGAGTTTTCATGCCATTTCTGTCACCTTTTACTGGGTCAATTCAACCGACTCCTACCTCCAGGCCTATTTATTTATTTCATTTTTGTCTTGTAACTGAATTCCATTGACTTCTCTCGCCCTTAGGTGCGACGTTTATGTTTGGACTTATCATTTCCCTATTATATAAAAAAGAGAATGAAAAGTTACAATAGTTAACAACAGTAAATTCTTCTATTTTATCACATTGTAGCAAAATCTTTTTTTTCATCAAGGAATAAAAACGACATCCTGTTGTTTTGTGATTGATACAATGATATTTCCTTTTTTTTTTTTTTTATCCCTTTTACTCGGTGTTTACAGTACACATTCACTTTTGTACATATCTGAAGTATTTAATTGCACTGTAACTATATATATTTTCCCTTTTATTATGTCCATATTAATTTCCATTTCCTTTTGTTCATTGGCACGTTTCTAATCAAATTTGACTAAAAATTCGTAAAGAACGGACAATCTTAAAATTTCTCTAAAAAGGGGGAAATTGAAGTCCTTAGTTTAAAGAAAAGAGAAAAAAGAAAAAGAAAATCAAGCAGAGTGCACGAAGTGGGCACTCTCCATGCACGGAGATGGCACTCTCCGCGCACTTGCCATCTCCATGCACTCCATAATGCATAGAGTGCTACCTCTCCGTGCTAATCCTCTCTCAAATTTTTTCTTTATTTTTTGGTTAATCATTACGTGAATAATAAAAAATGACGACGTTTCATTCATTTATTATACATTTCCCTAATTGTTTCTATTTGTCCCTGTCAATGTTCATTTTCTCCATTTGTTGTGGGATTGGGGGATTTGGGGTGGGGGCTGATTTTTTATTTTTTAAGTTTATGACAAAATAAATTTGAAACATTAAATGATTTATATTTAAAAAAATGAGATTTTTTGTCAAAAATCTGGGTAGGAGGAGTGCTTGCGTGTGGCTTATATATATATATATATATATTTTTATATAATTGTAAGTTAAAAAGATAACATTAATTTATAAAGTTTCAAAAATATCCTTGGCATCAATTTTTTCATTGTACTCAAAAGCTAGCCGACAAAATATACTAATTCACGAATTTGTGGTGGAAACAAGTAATCCTATCAAATAATATAAAAAAATTCAACATGTCAATTGAAAAAATCCTTGAAAGGCATTACATAAAAAAATTGTAATTTTCTGCGATAGCTAAACATTCGTTTTTCATGAAAAAAATGATAAGTAAATTATATATAGGCATTATTTAATGTTAGTTATTTTGCGTCAATTCAATTCAATGCCATGCCATGTCTCCTTAAGTATTTCAAACTGAGGTTCTAAGTGCTACAAACTTCCATTCAATTATCATAAGAAATTCTATATGAAAGTAATGAATGCTCTTATGAAAGTCCAAATTCCCAAAAGGAATTCCGAATGAAGCAATAAAGATTGCTCTCAAGCAGTTCGGGCTGAGGTTGTGAGTTTTGTAAGTCCCACAAGGAATTTTAGAAGAAAGCAGGATTGCTCTTAAACAAGTCCAGATTCCATGAAGGAATTCTTGTGGAAGAAATAAGTAGTCTTAGTTGAGGTTACAAGAGCTGAAATGCTTTTAGCCAATTTTTTATAAGAAATTTCAAAGAAAGAACTAATGATTTCTCTTAAGAAGTCCGGAGTTGGGATTACAAGTGCTACAGCACTTAACTAATTTTTATAAGAAATTTCAGAGAAAGAAATAAGGATTAATCTAGCATAATCATATAGTTACAGAAGTGGCAATTTTGATATTCAACAGAGAAATCTACAATTTTTAAGCTAATGAAAATACAATAAATATAAAACTCGTACAACGCATGTGACAAAGACTAGTGTTGCACTTATATTGTTGACCTATTAAAACGTTATTTGGCATAACTTCTACAAAGTTAGCTGCTCTCGAGGCCATTTCTTTTGGATTTGATTCAGTCTTGTTTGGTGATGATTAAAATTAAATTTTTATTAGATTTTGATCAAAACTGATAAAATATATGATTAGAAAGTTATTTGACACATAAAAATATGTCATTGAAATTAATTATCGACTTTGATATGATTAAAATCTAAATTTTAATATCTGCAAAATTGAGCTCAATAATTTTTTGAGAGTGTTTAGTGATTGCAATTAAGCAATTATTTAGCCTAATCGTTGAAAAGTCAAAAGTTAGTTTTAAAATTAAGCTATTTTTAAATTTGATTGATAATTTTGTGTGTGTATTTTGCCTATTAGTTAAGCATAAAAATACACTTGGTTCAAGATAACTTTATAAAGAAGTTCTTCCAAGAAAAGTAGTAGTAGAAACTACTCAAATAGGCTCTAAAATAGTAGCACTCATGTATTCAGTAAATAGAATTGTGTATTTGAATGTTAAGTGGTGACATGAAACTCATCTAATATTGGATGAAAATAATGAAATTGTTCAAAAAGACTTTATTATTTTTATTTTTTTTATTTTTTTGGTAATTCCAAAATAGTCCAACACTGATTTTAACTTTCATTTCAAAATCGTAAGAGTAATCTTTCTCAGTTTCATGTTCATTAAACATGTCATCATGCTTCATCCCTTCCCAATAACAAATTATGTTGGCCTTTTATTTCAATAAATATTTTTTTTATAAACTAGAGAGATGTGTCCACAATTTTAAAAGGTTAAGAATATGGATATAAAATAATAGTTTAGGGACATAGAATGAAAGGGTTGATGACCCCTTTTTATTTAAATAGCATTTGAATATTTATTTATGTACGTTCATTTCAATTGTCATTATGGGGTAGTTAAATAGGCACCAAAGCTTTTATTTTCAATTAATACATTTTATGTTATGAAACGTTTAGAGCATTAGCAGGGGTGGATTTAGCCAGTAAATAAATTGAGTGAGGACGGAATGACACTGTGGTACGAATTTGTAATTCCTATATGGTGGGGAGATGAGGAGTAGAAGAATTTTTTCATATATGATATGATGCTTTTTTATTAGTGTAAATATAGAATCCAAGAAAAGACAACTATAAATAAGTATTGGTGTTTGTTGACCTCAAAAAATTTAAAAGTGAATGGTCAAGTTTTTTACCATGGTTTGGTAGGGTTTTTCGCCCTTTTAGGGGAGGGATTGGATGTGTTTAAGAACCAAATTATGTAGGAAGAAGAAAGGGAGTGTGGTTTTGGCATTAGTTTGATTGGAAAAGTACTTCTCGATCGGAGAATGTTTGAATTTTTAAAATGTCGATCCTGTTTGAATTGTGATACCAATTTTGGAATTACAACTCAAACTTTTGGGCTATGATGATAGATTGAGCTAAGCCCATTTCAGATACTACAACCCATTGCCCGATAACTCAAACAAGAGGCCCAAAACCTGAGCCCAACGTTTGGCCACGTGTGTTGCTCTGGACCGTTGGATCCCCTAAACCTAAATCTACCGTGATGAGCCCTCATAGATATACTGTCTGATATTTTTCCCTAAAACCTAATTTTTCATTTTACGCGTCTTTCCTTTCTCTTAGTTTTTTGGAACTCTCTAGAACTAGGGTTTTCTGAACCGTCTCCTTTCTCCTTCGATCTCTTTTCGTCTACTGTGTGTTTTTCCCTTTGAATCTTCTGTGATCTTGGGTGGTATTCTTTGTGATCCAAAGAGTCTATGTGATTCTATAGAAATGAAAGGAGTAGATACTGGTTTAGTGGGGATTTTCAGTCGGTCCGTTGAAGTAGCTATTAGGGGTCTGTGTTGGCTTGGGATTATTTGGGGTTTCCTGTTGTACAGAAGGGTACAATGTGTTCTAAGCCCAAAAATCGATGATACCTTGAGTCGTCTGGTCGAATGGAGTCTGTGATGTTTCGAAAGAAATAATTCTGAACTATACTTTGTGTATTTGTTTTGATTCGGTTATAATAGTGGTATCAGAGCTTGGTGTGGTGTTTAATCTCCGTTCGAAGAAGATCTGGTTGTAAGAAATCAATTCTTACAGTCAGATCTTAAGGGGTTATCTAGGGTTTCGATTTTTTCCTGAAAACCCTAGATCTGTTTTTTGTTAAATGATCTCATATATTCTCGATTAATATTTCTAACTGTATATTGAACTGATGACTGTTACTTTGTGTGACTCATTAGACCCTGCAGGTGTATCTTCAAGCGAACTCTTGGTTCGTGTATGATTTTTTGAGTGACCAGTAGCGTCCTTATGGATTTCTTGGTCGATTAGTAGTCTTAACTTGACTACTACTGTGGTTTGCATCCTCCACTTAACATTTTACTAAATATGCAATATCAAATTATAAGTTATATGCATGTTGATTATGAAGTAAATTGTTATACATTTGAAATAGATCTTCTTGTGATATACGTTTGTAGTTAAATTTTTTTTTTTTTGGTAAACTGCATTCGTTTATTATTTCATTGTGATTCATTCATAATATCCTTGCTTTGGATTCTGATGTCCCAGATTGAACATTGAACTGAGGACTTGATCTTCACGGAATCCCGGTGAATTTGGGCGTTTGGGGTCTGAAGTGTATTGCATCATTCATTCTCTCATTCCTGGATATTTTGAATTCCCTATGTTGTTACTTTTCCTTTTTTGATTCTCAAGTCTTCTAGATACTGAATAATTTGATTTGATTCTTGTTACCTTTCAAATTTTATTCTGTATCTATCTATTCTGTTGAACACTGAACCTCAAATAATTCTTTCTTTTGATTGATTAAGAACTCCAAATGTCAACTGCTAAGTTTGAACTAGGGGTTTTTAATGGAAAAGGGGACTTCCCCATTTGGCAACAAAAAATGAGAGGGATCCTTGTTCAACAGAAAGTTGTAAAAGCTATAACTCATGATTTTCCTAAGACTATGACTGAAGAACAAAAAACAGAATCTGATGAACTTGCCTATACCTCTATCATATTGCATCTATCTGACCAAGTGTTAAGAAATGTTGAAAAATTTGATAAGGCTAAAGCTTTATGGGATAAACTTGAAGAACTGTATTTAACAAAGTCTTTACCAAATAAAATTTTTCTTTTGGAAAGTTTCTTCAGTTTTAAAATAGACCCTTCCAAAGATTTATAAGACAATCTT